AATGAGGTTCATGACTCAGTGAAGTCCAGAGGATTCAGTGTGTACTCCCATTAACTCTGTACTACTTACAGTGGATTGTTGGTGCGAGAGTTCAACCACAGGGTGCCAGGTATGCTTTATTGTCACTACCACAATTCTGTGCAAAACTGGCCACCCAGCAATTCATTTGATATGACTGGAGAGTGCTTTAAAAATTGTCAGATTAAAAGTAATCTCTGTAATCCCAGCACTTTCGGAGGCCGAGGCGGGTGGATCACGAGGTCAAGAGATTGACATAGTCCTGGCCAACATAGTGAAACTGCGTCTCTACTAAAATACAAAAATTAGCTGGGCATGGTGGTGCATGCCTGTGGTCCCAGCTGCTTGGGAGGCTGAGGCAGGAGAGTTGCCTGAACCTGGGAGGCAGAAGTTGCAGTGAGCAGAGATCACACCACTGCACTCCAGCCTGGTGTCTGGTGAAAGAGCAAGACTCTGTCTCAAAAAAAAATAAAGTACTCTCACCTGGCAATTATTAATTATTGCTATTATTACAGTATGTAATTATAAAATTTTTGGAAAGTATTTTGCCTTGACACATTTCAATCTCAATATGTCTGCTTCTGCTAAGTCAAAAATGATTTGAGAATAATCATTTGCCATCTAATGTCATTTGCCTCACAAGGACAAGTAAGATTATATTTTATTTATTTATTTATTTATTGAGATGGAGTTTCACCCTTGTTACCCAGGCTGGAGTGCAATGGCGCAATATCAGCTCACCACAACCTCCACCTCCTGGGTTCAGGCAATTCTCCTGCCTCAGCCTCCTGAGTAGCTGGGATTACAGGCACGCACCACCGTGTCCAGCTAATTTTTTGTATTTTTAGTAGAGATGGGATTTCACCATGTTGACCAGGATGGTCTCGATCTCTTGACCTCATGATCCACCTGCCTCGGCCTCCCAAAGTGCTGGGATTACAGGCTTGAGCCACCGCGCCCGGCCAAGATTATATTTTAAAAAAGCATCTATTCCCATTTGACAAGAAGAATAAAGAGGTGGATTTTTCTGGAATACCCTTGTCCAAATCTCCTTTATTGTCCTAAAGCCCCAATATTATTTGTTTAATGAACTTTCTCTATTTGGGGAAAAATTAGGGGACAGTAACAGTAATTTATTGTTTTCAAATAAGCCTGACATTTAATCATCTTGTTTCAGAGTTCTTGTGGGAAATTTTGTCCAAATTTGTATCAGCTTGTTATTTTCGTTCAAGCAAATACAATCAAGAGATTATTTCTTATTGAACTCTCCTCAAATGGTATCAAGGGATTATGATTAAATGTCATAACTTTAAACCATTTCTCTGTTCCCTGAGAGGTTAGGAAGAATTTATAATGTCTCCTCTTTTTAAACAGAATTTGAGTCTCAGCCAAACTTTGTATCTTACAAACATAAGCTTTGTTGGGTATGGAAGTCCACATTTACTCTGACATACTATAAAATATATAGGCAGAGGGATAAAATGAATTTTGTATTATGTTAACTATGTCTGATGTTATTTTAAATCAATTTTTTTAACTAAAAAATGCACTTAAATATTTTTAATGATCTCTGATTATAGGTTCTGAAACTTCTGTATGTCCTATGTCTGGCAAACAACATCAGCCCAAAGAGAAAAAAGCAATCCAGTTAAATAAACCAAAGAAAAAAGATTAAAACTAGATAAAGTCATGTATAGGATTTTCCAATTATTTCTTTTCATGCTGAAATTTCCAGCTCTTAAGACAGTAACACGTTTCCTTTGTCCTGACAACCAATATTATGTCTTGCACATGCCTGTAATCCCAGCTACTCAGGAGGCTGAGACAGGAGAATTGCCTGAACCCGGGAGGCGGAGGTTGCAGTGAGCCGAGATTGCGCCATTGCACTCCAGCCTGGGTAACAAGAGCGAAACTCCGTCTCAAAAAAAAAAAAAAAAAAAAAAAAAAAGAATAAGTATAGTTATACTTAGGTAACAGTAATGTGTAGTAAAGAGTGGGCTATGCTGACAATGACCAAATTGTGTTGATCATATTTTATTACAGTACATTGCTCCACTACTAACTTCCAAATACATGATGAATTTTTTTTTTTTTTTTTTGAGACGAGAGTTTCACTCTTGTTACCCAGGCTGGAGTGCAATGGCATGATCTCAGCTCACCACAACCTCCGCCTCCTGGGTTCAGGCAATTCTCCTGCCTCAGCCTCCCGAGTAGCTAGGATTACAGGCACGCGCCACCATGCCCAGCTAATTTTCTGTATTTTTATTAGAGACGGGGATTCACCATGTTGACCGGGATGGTCTCGATCTCTTGACCTCGTGATCCACCCGCCTCGGCCTCCCAAAGTGCTGGGATTACAGGCGTGAGCCACCGCGCCCAGCCGAAGTTTTTTTCTAATATATTCCAAGAAGGCCAGAGAACTGGCTTATTCATTTGGATTAATGCACTGGTGAATTTCTTTCAGGAAAGGACTATAATCTTTACATATTTAGATCTTTCAAACTAGACCAAAAAGGAAATCTGGGCTGTAAGGCTCAGTTAGAAGAATAGTGTGGGACGGTCCTTTGCTGACTGCTGGTGGCCCCTGCTCTGCCTTCAGAGGAGACTTGAGCCCAGGGCTTGCCGTGATCAGCTTATAAGGTGAAGTAAGAACCTCCCCGCAGGCTTACATGTGCTTAGTACAGATGTGCTGCATGCTAGGTACCCTAATGAGAATACATGATGTGTCCGCGATAAGGAGGCAAATGAGAATACATGATGTGTCCACGATAAGGAGGCAAATGAGAATACATGATGTGTCCGCGATAAGGAGGCAAATGAGAATACATGATGTGTCCGCGATAAGGAGGCAAATGAGAATACATGATGTGTCCGCGATAAGGAGGCAAATGAGAATACATGATGTGTCCGCGATAAGGAGGCAAATGAGAATACATGATGTGTCCGTGATAAAATGAGAATAGATGATGTGTCCGCGATAAGGAGGCAAATGAGAATAGATGATGTGTCCGCGATAAGGAGGCAAATGAGAATACATGATGTGTCCGCGATAAGGAGGCAAATGAGAATACATGATGTGTCCGCGATAAGGAGGCAAATGAGAATACATGATGTGTCCGCGATAAGGAGGCAAATGAGAATACATGATGTGTCCGTGATAAAATGAGAATAGATGATGTGTCCGCGATAAGGAGGCAAATGAGAATAGATGATGTGTCCGCGATAAGGAGGCAAATGAGAATACATGATGTGTCCGCGATAAGGAGGCAAATGAGAATACATGATGTGTCCGCGATAAGGAGGCAAATGAGAATACATGATGTGTCCGCGATAAGGAGGCAAATGAGAATACATGATGTGTCCGTGATAAAATGAGAATAGATGATGTGTCCGCGATAAGGAGGCAAATGAGAATACATGATGTGTCCGCGATAAGGAGGCAAATGAGAATAGATGATGTGTCCGCGATAAGGAGGCAAATGAGAATACATGATGTGTCCGCGATAAGGAGGCAAATGAGAATACATGATGTGTCCGCGATAAGGAGGCAAATGAGAATACATGATGTGTCCGCGATAAGGAGGCAAATGAGAATACATGATGTGTCCGTGATAAAATGAGAATAGATGATGTGTCCGCGATAAGGAGGCAAATGAGAATAGATGATGTGTCCGCGATAAGGAGGCAAATGAGAATAGATGATGTGTCCGCGATAAGGAGGCAAATGAGAATACATGATGTGTCCGCGATAAGGAGGCAAATGAGAATACATGATGTGTCCGCGATAAGGAGGCAAATGAGAATACATGATGTGTCCGCGATAAGGAGGCAAATGAGAATACATGATGTGTCCGTGATAAAATGAGAATAGATGATGTGTCCGCGATAAGGAGGCAAATGAGAATAGATGATGTGTCCGCGATAAGGAGGCAAATGAGAATACATGATGTGTCCGCGATAAGGAGGCAAATGAGAATACATGATGTGTCCGCGATAAGGAGGCAAATGAGAATACATGATGTGTCCGCGATAAGGAGGCAAATGAGAATACATGATGTGTCCGCGATAAGGAGGCAAATGAGAATACATGATGTGTCCGCGATAAGGAGGCAAATGAGAATACATGATGTGTCCGCGATAAGGAGGCAAATGAGAATACATGATGTGTCCGTGATAAAATGAGAATAGATGATGTGTCCGCGATAAGGAGGCAAATGAGAATACATGATGTGTCTGCGATAAGGAGGCAAATGAGAATAGATGATGTGTCCGCGATAAGGAGGCACACAGGCCACAGCACAGCTCCGGAATCACACAGCCCAGGGTTCAAAGCCTGGCAGGGCCACTGTCATATCAATGGCCTGAGGAGTAGCCTAAGGCTTAAATGTTGTTGTTGTTTGTTTTGAGATGGAGTCTCCCCTCGCCCAGGCTGAAGGGCAGTGAGGTGATCTCAGCTGACTGCAGCCTCCGCCTCCCGGGTTAAAGCGATTTTGCTGCCTCAGACTCCCTAGTAGCCGAGATTACAAGCAGGCACCGCCACGTCTGGCCAGTTTTTGTATTTTTAGGAGCGACGGGGTTTCAGTCATGTTGCTCAGGCTGGTATCCTCAGGTGATCCACCGCCTCGGCCTCCCAAAGTGCTGGGATTACGAGCGTGAGCCACCGCGCCCAGCCTTAAATGTTGCTTTAAAACAAATCTGTGAAAAGAAGAGGCCCCGCCTGCCAGGAAGGGATGTTGTAGGGCGGAGCATGCAGTCAGGTGAAGGCACCACGTCCCTCTTTGGAAACCCGCACGGCCTGGCTGGTGACCCCGGCGCCATAGGGAAGGCACGCCTGGCTCCAGGCGGCACAGAGGCATTGCCGGGGTCCCGGAGGAGCCTGGCAGGTTATGGGTTTCCCTGTGCTCAACTTCAAGCAGGATGCGCTCTCTGTGAACCCAGGGACAGGGCCGGCCGACACAGGGTCACTGCGTGCGACAGCGCTGGGCCAGGGCTGAGCTGCAGGCAGAGCTGGCGCCCGGGCGCGAAGAACTCTGGCGGATGGGACCGCGGCACTTCCCACGTAGCGGCCAAGCGGCGCAACAGCAGCCACCAGCCGCAGAGCTTCCGGGGCCGGAAGGCCGCGGGGGCTGATGGGGCCTTGACCTTTGCCCTCTGACGCCGGCGTTTGACGCCTACGCTGCCTCGTGAGGAACCTCGTGGAGGCGCCGCAGGCCCCAGGCCCGTCAGACTTTGCTCGGTCGCCAGAGGAGGCGGTGGCTGAGGAGAGCTGCGTCCGCTGCCGACCCTGTCGTACGGTAGGAGCCAGAGCTACCTCGAAATGGGCAGTTTACTGAGCAAATTTAGACCCAGGTGCCGTCGTCGGCCCCTGCCGGGGCCAGGGCGTGAAGCGCCCGCTCCCCTGGCCCGGGACGCCTGCCCGCCCGGCCGGGCTCACTCTGCGCCCACCCCGCGCCCTTTCCGCGCCCTGTTCCGCCGGAATGGCCGTCGGAGGCCTTCACCAGCCAGCGTCTTCGTCGCCCCTGAGCGGCTGTGTCCCCTCCCGAGGGCTGCGGCGACGCCGGTGGGCGTCCTGCCGGCCGCGGGCTGGGGGCCGGCCCCGAGGAAGACCCTCGTGCTGCCTGCTCGGAACCCCCCGAGGTTCAGACACCCCAGCTCCGTGAGGATCCCCGCTCCCAGCCGCGCGTTCGCCCTGCGGCTGCCGTCACCCCCTGAGCGTGCGGTCGGGGCCCGGCAGCCCGTCCCGGCCACTGTCCCGGAGGAGACGGCGGTGCGGGCCCGACGAGGGCCCAGAGGAGTGAGGAAGGATGAGGCTGCGGCGCAGACGGAAGCGCCGCGTGACGAGAGGAGGGCCGCCGTTCGCAGCCATGACGCGGCCCAGGGCAGCCCGCGGGACCTTTCCCCCTGCAGATGCAGCGCGGAGCCTCCGGGGGGGAGCGTGCGCCACGAGTGCCCGGAAAACGACTTGCCTGACACGGCCCAGGCGTCCCCAGCGAGCTCCTGCCCGGAGGGTCTTCCCGAGCCCAGAGCACGCAGCCAGGCCAGACGCGCGCTGCATCCTGGGAAGCCCGGTCCCGACCCAGCCCGGGGCCGCTCCCTGCTGCCGCGGAAGTCGCCGGCAGAACTGCCCAGCTCTCCAGGCGTGCCCAGGCCGCCGATGTCCGCAGACCGGGTGCCCGACGGGAAGCCTTCAGGTGTTCCCCCAAGGAGCGCTGCCCACAACAGGCCCTGCAAAAGGAAAATGTCGATTCCACTGCTGCTGCCGCTGCCCCCGTCACTGCCCTTGCTGTGGGATCGAGGGGAGCTTCCCCCACCTGCCAAGCTCCCCTGCCTGTCTGTTGAGGGAGACCTGGGCACCTTGGAGAAGAGCCCCGGGTATAAAAGGAATCGCAGAATCTTGGAGGATGAAACGGAGGCCATGACAGACAGCAGCGTCACCCAGCCTGCCCCTTCTTTCTCCCCACCAGTGGAGACGACAGACTCCCTGCCCCTGGCCACTGCCACTTCCATGTCGCAGGTCCCAGCTCCTCCACCCATCCCTGACTTGGCTGACCTGGCTACCAGACCCCCCATCCTTCCTGTCCCTCCGCTTTCCACCACACCAAAGATGGATCAGAAAATAACACTCACAATCCCTAACTCTCCTCTGGCTCTTTCTGCTGACCTTGTTCCCGTTTTGGGGTGTCAGTCTAATGAGAAAGGAGGCTCTTGTCATTCGGTTGTAGGTGCAGCACCTCCTGCTTCTAACCCCCCAACACCTCCTAGCCCCACACCCTTCTCCCTAATACCTACCGCTGTAGATTCCCCTCCTCCTCTTTCCTTCCCAGCTCCTCTTCCAGTCCCTTCTACCGTGACCTCAGTTATCACCAGCAAGCCTGTGAATTCCACATCAGTCATTTCCACTATCACAGCAAACACATCTGCCCACTTAACCTCACAGACTGCAGTAGACCACGAAGCAGTTAACATGAATACTATCACCCCTTCTCAGGCTGTTGTTTTCACATCTTCTCCAAGCTCTAGGGTGAGCTCTCTCCCAGTTTCCCAAATACATTGCAGTACAGAGCAGAGGCACCCAGGAAAGACATCAGTCTACATACATCCCCTTACATTTATATTCCACAACACCACCCCAAGTTTTAACCAACTCTTTAGCAAAGAAGCCATCTCTCAATCCAACTCTGGGGCTCTTGATGGTCAGCAGCAGAAAGCTTCTCTCCCCAGTGCCTGTGTTTTTCCAAGCCTTCCCATCATTGCTCCACCAGACACCTCCGCTTTAGTGAACAGTGCCTCTGCACCATCATTATCCAGGCCTGCCATTGACACCAATGCTGTGAATACCACTCCTCCTTCCAAGTCTGCCACCTTGCAGTCTGCCTCTGTCTCCAGGAAGAAGTGCCTCCCATTTTACATGGGGCTTCCTGGTTCTGAGAACATACTGCCCCATGGCAATGTTGCCTCAGCTCAGGGCTCCACCAGCTTGCCTGCACATGTAGACGGGAGACCAGCCACAACTTCCAACTATCCTTTAAATCCAGGAGCCACCGCTCAGCCCCAATTTGGGGCCCCCGAGGGGCAGCAGCAGAAAGCCTCTTTCCCCAGTGCCCATGATTTTCCAAGCCTTCCCATCATGGTTCCTCCAGACACCTCCACGTTAGTGAGCAATGCCTCTGCAGCATCGTTATCCAAGCCTGCCATTGACACCAATGCTGTGAATACCACCCCTCCTTCCAAAACTGTCATCTTGCAGTCTACTTTTGTCTCCAGGAAGGAGTACATCCGATTTTATGTTGGGCCTTCTGGTTCTGAGAACACACTGCCCAGTGACAGCAGTGCCTCAGCCCAAGTCTCCACCAGTTTGCCTGCACATGGAGACGGGAGACCAGCCACAACTTGCAGCCATCCTTTAAATACAGGAGCCATCTCTCATTCCACACTTGGGGCCACTGATGAGCAGCAGAAATCTGACAGTTCTTATATTCTGGGGAATCCAGCAACCCCAGCACCAGTTACAGACTTGCCATCTCCTTCAGCAGAGTCAACATCACCATATTCTACATTCGGCACACCTGTTAATGGCCAGCCAGCCAAGGGTCACAACGCAAGTGCTTTCCCCAGTGGCATTGCAAAGACTTCTGAATTTAGAGTAGCCACTGGGATGCCCGTCACTGGGGACAGTACCTCACTGGTTGGAAATACTATTCTAGGCCCACAGGTGATTATGGGACCAGGAACCCCTATGGATGGTGGGAGCATTGGGTTCAGCATGTCTCTCCCGGGCCCCAGTTCCACATCAGAAGAACTCAACACTGGACAACAACAAAATGGGATACCCAGCACCACTTCTGTTCCCCCATTTGGTCAGGGAACCTGGGACTCAGCTGGCCACAGCATGGCTGCTGCACCACAAGGCACTAGCAACATTCCTGTATATCCTTCTGCTGCCACCTACGTTCCTGGCTTCGAGCCACCTACTCAGCATTCAGGCAGTGGTATGGAAGGCGATGGCACCAAACCCATAGTTGGAGGACCTTGTGTTCCTGCTTTTCAACAGTGCATCCTGCAGCATACATGGACAGAGAAAAAGTTCTACACTTCCGGCACCTACCACTATGGACAAGAAACATATGTTAAGAGACATATCTGTTACCAATTTCCATAAGAGCACCTGTGGTTCACGTGACCACACCACATCTGTTGTGGTTGTAAACACCAGCATTATCCCTGTGAATGGTTCTTGTTTCACCTTCATGCCAAGTGCCTGCCATGTACCTCTCCAGAACTCAGGTCATGCACCAGGAGAGGACAACAACATCCCTGTGGTTCAAGGCCCTTATGCTCCCTTTCTCCATCAGTACACATGGGACCCACCTGGAAAAAACACACGTGGTTCATCTGCAGTGAATGCCAACATACCTTTAATGGGAGGCCCTTGTATATCCACCTACCAACGAAGTACCTAAGGCCCACCTGGACAAAACACAGATGGTACATCTTCCAGGAGTGTCAGTATTCACTTGATGGGAGGCCCTCATGTGCCCATGTATCAGCAAAGCACCTGGGGCTCACCTGGACAAAGCACAAACCATGCAATGGGGGTCAGCAACATAACGGTTGTGACTGGTTATCCTTATGGTCTCCCATTCACACAAAGCACCTGAGGACCACCTGGCTAAACACAGGGGGCAATAGGGGATAGCCCCAGACATTTGTAGGGAGAAACCTCTAGTTTCCCTTTCAGTAAAAATACTATGGACCTGCCCAACCAAGGTGCTCCTTTTGACTTTAGAGGAACCACATTGTTTTCTTTTGTTCTTGTTTTTGAGGTGGAGTCTTGCTCCGTAGCTCTTGCTGGAGTGCAGTGGCACAATCTCTGCTCGCTGCACCTCCATCTCCCTGGTTCAAGCAGTTCCCTGTCTTCCCCTCCTGAGTATCTGGGACTGCAGGCACATGGCACCACACCCAGTGAATTTTTGTATTTTTAGTAGAGAGGAGTTTCATCTTATTGGTCAGGCTGGTCTCAAACTCCTGACCTCAAGTTATCCACCCGGCTTGGCCTCCCAAAGTGCTGGGATTACAGCTGTGAGCCACTGTGCCTGGCCTAGAGGATCCAGCATTGTTAATTAAATACTTGTGATTGGATGTCCTGGTCAGAGCAACTTTGCCTGTGATGGAAAGCAGCCACTAGTGACACTTGTACCTGCCAAGGCCTTCATAGGAGCCACCAGACCATTTCTTACTCCTGTAAAGGATCTCAAGAAATAAGAACCAATCTCCTTTCACATACAGTTCTCATAAATGGATGTTGTTCCAGGAAGAATGGGCTCAGTTCCCTCAAGTTAAATTTAACCTTTTCTCTCCCTACAGAAGCTGGAGGCCCAAAACCGCAAAGAGAGAGAGAGTGTGTGTATGTGTGTGTTGTGTGTGTGTGTGTATTGGTGACTGGGGAGCAGATGAGCCCAGTCGTAACTGCACTGTATTTGAGTGGTCTTCTACACTGTGGAGGGTAGAGGAAACCTGTATGCATCATCAGCTGCGCCCTCTCTGACTTGACTGTTAACTTGGCTGACCTTACCTCTGGCCCAGTTCTCTCTAGTCTTGGACAGAAAGGCAAAATTTCTGACTTTTTTGGACCCTACATTCTACTTGGAGGGGAGAAAAGAAGGAACAAACATGTAAATCATCTGATAAATAAGCCAGTAACAAATGTGCTATGGAAAATAAAGAAGTACATGGAGGATTGAGATTGTAGATAGAAGCAGGAGTTTTTCAGACATGCCTCACTGGAAAGGTAAATTTAAACAAAGTCTAGAGAGAAGCAGTTGAGCCAGATATGTGAGCAAAGATCATTCCAGATAATTGCAAAGGCTGAGAGGAAGAATGCCTGGTGTCCTCAGGAGCAGTTAGTAAGGAAATGTGGGCCGGTCGCGGTGGCTCAAGCCTGTAATCCCAGCACTTTGGGAGGCCGAGGCGGGTGGATCACGAGGTCAAGAGATCAAGACCATCCTGGTCAACAAGGTGAAACCCCGTCTCTACTAAAAATATAAAAAAAATTAGCTGGGCATGGTGGCGCATGCCTGTAATCCCAGCTATTTGGGAGGCTGAGGTGGGTGGATCACGAGGTCAAGAGACCGAGACCATCCTGGTCAACAAGGTGAAACGCTGTCTCTACTAAAAATATTAAAAAAATTAGCTGGGTATGGTGGCAAGTGCCTGTAATCCCAGCTATTTGGGAGGCTGAGGTGGGTGGATCACGAGGTCAAGAGATCGAGACCATCCTGGTCAACAAGGTGAAACCCTGTCTCTACTAAAAATATTTTAAAAATTAGCTGGGCATGGTGGCACGTGCCTGTACTCAGGAAGCTGAGGCAGGAGAATTGCCTGAACCCAGGAGGCGGAGGTTGCAGTGAGCCGAGATCGCGCCATTGCACTTCAGACTGGGTAATAAGAGCGAAACTCCATCTCAAAAAAAGAAAAAAAGTAAGGAAATGTGGCTGGAATGGAGTCAGCACGTGGGAGGAAGGGATAAAGAAAAGGAGGGCAGAGAAGATGTAAGTGTACTTCCTTGCTCCACTCTTTACTAGTTGTATAATAACAAACAGTTGATTCAACCTTCAGGAATCTTAGTGAAATCAGTACTTTTACTATGGCCTGTGTATCTCACAAGATTTTTGAAAGGATGAAATGAAATATTATAGGGAAATGACTTATAAACCATTGTTGTAATTTGTTCTATAGATAGAGATGGATAGACGGATGGATGGATAGACTTGATAGATAGATAGAGAGAGAGAGATAATGGACTAAATGTTTGTGTTCCCAAAAAGTTCACATTTTGAAGCCCTAACTCCTAATGCGATGGTATTAGGAGGTGGGACTTTGGGGAGGTGATTAGGTTTAGATGAGATCATGAGGATGAAACCCCCATGATGGGATTTGTGCCTATAAGAAGAAACACCAGTGCTTCCTGTAATTGCCATGTGAAGGTGTACCAAGGATGTAGCTGCCTGTAAGCAAGGAAAAGAGGCCTCACAAGAAACAGAATTTGCCTTTACCTTGGACTTCCCAACCTTTAGAATTATAGAAAATAAATGTATGTTGTTGAAGCTATTGGTCTATGGCATTTTTGTAGCAATCAGAACTGACTAATAAAGATAGATCGATTGATAGATATGGAATATACATATATATGTATAGCTAACGAGTGAGTTCCTTGGGCAATTGTGCCCTGATTGCCTTTCCTAGACAATTCAAATAGAAGAACCCCTTTTTAGGAACATACAAGTACTTCTTTTTATGAAGCAAACACTGTAAAAATAGGATAACTGGGACTAAAACATTTATAAGATTAGGCCTGAAAGAAAACCATTGCAGAGAGACTACTGGATTCTTCCTGGTAACCTGGGGCCTGATTTATTCACTCTAAGTGTTTAGTACAGTTCCAGAGGATCAAAGCTCCTGCTTCCTGGCCAGATAATCACCTACCTTTTGTAATCAGACCTGCCTTTCAGAAGCAGAGTGGAAATTCAGTTTTCTTCTAATAGTCCTACACCCTTGCAATATTACCAGGGACATATTTTTAAAATTCATACTTCTTAACATTTTTTTAAAAGGCCTCAAGCTAAATATAAATGCTATGAACCTGATAAGACAAACTTTAAATAAATGTTTGAGAGATATAAAGATAATTTGGTTTTCATGTTTTGATGTACTTACACAACTGAAACTATAAACAAATAGAAATATTCTTTGTTTATTAAAATAATAAATGAACATGATATCAATTTGAATAAAATTCAACCCTCCTACCATAGTTCCCTCCCCCAGAGAGTTTTTAGCTACTTTAATGTTATCCCATAGTTCTGAATTTGCTTTTTACTTCAACTACTGTATTCTCACAGATTTCATTGATTTTTCTAAATTTGAAGTGCCTTCCTCTTTTTTTTCCTTGAACTCTTTTCACATAAAAAGTTGTTTCTTTGGTTTTTTTTTAACTTTCAAATAGTATTGTTTATTTGACTGAATCCCATCCTTTTCCAGAAAACTCGAGCCTCCTCCACTGGTTTGGGAGATGTAAGACCAAAGCAAGGATATGGCCTCAGAAGAAAGAGGCTAAGGAACCACCCAGACTGCTTTTAGTTTATGCCAGAAATGCTCACCAATCACTAATTTTTTTAAAGTGTCTAATTCTGGCTGTATCGTCCTAATTTTCTAGATATGTGGTAAAACCAGAAATCTGGATTTCAGGCAGCACTCTAGGGAAGTATGATGCAGACAGTCCATGTTTCCTGTTCCAAACACTGCTTCAGGCCTCAGGTGACAGCCCACCAAAGTCCTCATTTATCTCATAAGATTAAAAAAAAAATTTTGTGTAGGATGTGAGTCTAAAGCCCTTGTTAGTAATAAGCAGAGTATTTTCCATACATCTGTATATCATGAGCTAGAAAATGGCCTGTGGAAAATTTGAGAATTTCTAACTTGTGGATGGTTGTCTTTCTTGCTCTACATATCTTCATGTTAGAGGTCTAGAAACTGCCCCCGACTGTGAGAAGCATGCCCAGGCCCTCCCTGAACCAGTCACTGCTGTGATCCCAGAGTTATGTGATATAATGAGGGATTCCCAAACAGCAGTTCATTGTTTTCCTGAGAAAGAGCTTTCTCAGAAGACTCAGGACAGGAGTGTCATCTTCAGATGTGCCTTCCAGATAGGAAAATTGAGGCTCATAAAATCAAACAGTTGCTAAGTTTTATAGCCATGATCTAGATCCTGGATTTATGCAATGCATGGAATCGGGCATGGGAAATATCAGAAAAGAGAAGCCAAACAAAATCTCTGCTAAAAAAATTGTCTTTCTTAGGTAAATAGCACCTTTGCTTTAAATGCAAACTAAGTTGTGATGATTGATATCACAGACTTTCTTGGAAGTAGGTTTCATAGGATGGAGGACAAATGAAAGTTTATGGGCAAAGAAAGAAGGGTTGGTGGGGTGGGTGCTTTGAAGTAAGTGGTTCCAAACACAAACTAGGTCAACTTTTTAATTGACTAGCGAAGATTCCTCAGGCTGGGTTAAACAGAGGTTTCCTCACCTGAAACCATCAGGATATGAAAAAAAGGAGAATACATGAATAATTCAGGACTCCAACAGGCAGAGTATAATTTATTTAGGCCATGCCATGTGGAGGGCCGTAATGGGAACATGACAGTGTTGAGAGGAGCATATTCTCTTGGGAATGAAGCATTTCTGCAGGGAAGGTTGCTAAGACTTCCAAGCTTATGTCTGCTATGCAAGTCATTACATTGTCAATCTAACAGTCTAAAATATTGTGGTGAGTGGGGGTGTTAGTTCAAGATACATAAGATGCAAGCAATCAACAGACCAAAAACATTGATACTTTATAGGTGTCTTAACTCCAAATTACTAATGGCTACTGTTTTGCCATCTAAAGCTGCAGGGGTTCTGAGAAGTGTTGAAGCCCAATACTCTATGAAGAGAATATTAACACCAGACATTGGTTGTTTAAAAATGAATTTGTCAGGCTGGGCATAGTGTCTCATGCCTATAATCCCAGCACTTTGGAAGTTCAAGGTGGGTGGATCATTGGAGGTCAGGAGGTCAAAACCAGTGTGGCCAACATGGCAAAAAACCCTCTCTATTAAAAATTTAAAAATTAGCTGTGGTGGTATGTACCTGTAATCCCAGCTACTCAGGTGGCTGAGGCACAAGAATAGCTTGAACCTGGGAGGTGGAGTTTGCAATGAGCCGAGATCACACCACTGCACGCCAGCCTGGGTGACAGAACAAGACTGTCTCAAAAACTCACAAACTTGTCATCCTTACTTTATTATATTAGATCCTGGCACCGTTAACCATCATTTTACTGCATATAGAGGGCAACTCTATACTTCATGCAAACTACATAGACTAGCATTTACTTTGTAAGGGGAAAGTCAAGACGATTCTCAAAGGAAACTGGAGGAATTCTGGGGAAAAAAAAAGAGGAGATAGGTATTATTTCTCTTTCTTTTGATAATTGTGTTCTGCTCTTTTATAAAGAAAGGTCTGCATTAATTAGTTCCTAATGTAATTCATTTGTTAGCCACACATAACAAGAAGTAATAGAAAAGAAAATTAGCATCCACATAGGGTGGTTCAACTTACATATAAAGGTCAATTTACATCATCTCTAACGGGTACCTCTTCATCCTTGGGCTGTTGCAAGATAGTTGTGTCATGCAAAAGCATCTTCTGTTTTGCAGTCAGGAATTAGATGAAAGGGTTGAAGGCCAGGCTTATAAAAATGGCTTCTCCTTGTGTCTTACTACTTTTTTCTTGTATTGTTCCTGTAGTTCTGTGACCCATGCCTCAGTAGAGTAATGACAGAACGTAGCATCTCTGCCTGCATGGATGCTGCCATGATAACCCTGTCTCCTTCTTGCCACTGGGTATGAAGATTGGCTTGATGAAATTGGGAACAGAAATTGGGTATTCTGTTCTCCAGAATACCAGGTCCATCTTCTCCATTCTCCTACTTTCCCAGGTGCTTGCGATGGTACAGCCTGGGACTCTCTGAAAGCAGTAACCTGAGGCCTTACTAGGTCTCAATCTTATTTCACATGACTCAGGTATCACTCTGTCCTTCATTGTCTTGTGTACAGTTTCCTGCAAACCACTGTTTCATATCATCTTTCCATTTTTGCATGCGTTTACATGAGCTAAGGTATGTCCCAATGCTATAGCTTTATCCGCAACACCTTATACAATTACTCAATCATTACTGTACCTCTGGCTTGGCTCTCTGCTTCCAGCTGGCAGTGTTAAGGTTAATAAAGAAGAATGTGAGTGAAATATACGGAGAGATAACTGCACTAACATTGTATTGCTGAAGGAAAGGTCAGAATTGGTCAATGCACAGAGCCTTAAGAGTCTCCATGGAGTTATCTACTGCATGTCAGGGAATGCATGTTTTAAGAAAAATCTAAAGGAAAGGATAATATCTTTGCCAGTCAAATACACATCCAATAGCATTATTTTATAATTACAATAAAATTCTTTATAGAATTATAATGAAGTTTTATTCACATAAAAATTAAAGCAAAATTTAAACAATTCACAAATTGTTTAAATCCATATATTTATGGAATCTCCATAAATATATCAGTATTCTGATTCTGATAGTTCTGAATCATATTTTCATCCAGAGTTACAGGTGGTATAGCATCACCCACTGCTGTGGGGGGATTGGGGAGGGAGAGCATTAGGAGAAATATCTAATGTAGATGATGGGGCGATGGATGCAGCAAACCCCCACCGTGGCATCTGTGTACCTATGTAACAAACCTACATGATCTGTACATGTACCCCAGAACTTAAGAGTATAATAAAGTTTTGAAAATAATCACCCACTGCTATGAAGAATTATAGCAATGAAACATTACTTTATAAAGGAGGCTGCACCATTACCTATGTAATTTATGCCTTTTTAATTAACACACATTTTTCAAGTTGCAATGCAGGTGAACTTTATTTTTGCAGCTGAACTTTCCAGAAGATGACAGCATAAGATGTCAGGGGAAATTGTTCCATGCGCAGACACTGAAAACTATGTCATGGCTGCCACCAGAGTCATAATAATTAAGATAAAACGTGAAAAAAATACTAGAAAGAGGTGAAATGTTGTAACTCATAAAGATGCAAAAATATGAAAAGAGCATGTTGATAAAATGAATTTTAGAGCACAAGAAGACTTTTCTTGGTCTCAGAGGACAAACCCGGTCAAAAGGATAAGTATAAATGGATAAGAAACAGCATGCTCTGGGTAGGAAGGCAGTAAATCACACTGCCATGTGTGTACCTATGCAACAGTCTTGCATGTTCTTCACATGTACCCCAAAACCTAAAATGCAATTTAAAAAAAAAGAATCGGCATGTTCCATGAGCAGGTCTCTATGGTAGTTTGAGAATGGGGAGACTGGAGAAGAGGATGGCTGATGGAAAAAGGTCAGGGCTCACATTCTGTCCTGAGAACAGAAGAAAGTTAAAAAAAAAAAAAGTTAATCTTCAAGTTCAAAACCTCTTCAGATTGAAAGTCGGAGTTTATTGAAAAAAATATACGTGAGGAATTTGAGAGATTCATTCATTAGTGAAATCCAGTATAAAGGATAATTTTCTGTTGTTCCTTGTCCACTGCTAGCATAGGGTTCACAAGGGAACCACATTGACAAACTATTCATATTCTTTGGTATTTCAGTTCAGTGGGTATTGACAAAACGTAACAGAAATATGCACTGTGCATGAAAGAGCTCCCCTTGAGAACTCAGAGCAAAGGTACCAGACCTGGAATGGGATGAACAAAGGAGACCTCTAGGAGGAGGAACACTGGAGGAGATTCTGGAAAGTGAGGAGCAGTAGTCCAGCAAATGGAAGGAAAAAAGAGGAGAAAGTGTGTCTGTGGCACAGGCCAAGCCATTAGAAGGGGCGCTGGTTTGGAAGGACTGCTGGGATCGGTAATCTATGAGGACAGGAGCAGGAAGGGCAGACCATGGAGGGACTGGGGATAGATGTAATGGATATGTT